TAAGTACTGTGGAGTCAGTTCTGACTCACAGCAACCCTGTACAGGGTTTCCAAGGTTGAAAATCTTTATGGGAGCAGAACGCCTCATCTTTCTTCCACGGAACAGCCCGACTCGTAACCACTACGCTACCAGAGTGCCTTAGGTAATGACTAATTGGGTGACCCCCTACCTTCCTGAATAGGAGCTCTGGTAGCATAGGGGTTACGAATCGGGCTGCCAACCATAAGGTCAGTGGTTCGAAACTACCAGCTGTTCGCGGGAGAAAGATGAGTCTTTCTGCGCCTTTAAAGATGTACAGCCTCAGAAACCCTTTACAGGGGCAATATGAGTGAGAACCAACGCCACAGCATATAACCACCACCACTGCCTGCGTCCTGAAGCCACAGTTCCACCATTTATAAAGCGGGAATTGCAATGCTGTGGTGAAATCATGTTCACCTGGTAACTCAGCACTGACTTAAAGCAAGCCGGTTGCCATCAGTCAACACTGACTCATGGCTGCCCACATGCATCAGGGTAGGACTGTGTTCCTTGGGGTTTTGAGAAGTCAAATGCCAGAACTTCCTTCCCAGGAACCCCTGGGGTGGACTCTTAGCTCCAGCCTTTCAGTTAGCAACTATTTAGCACCATCCAGGGCCTGCCTCGTAAGCACAAAGTACTGAGGAGTGGCCGGTGAGGCTATATTTGTGTGATATATGTGTTAGTCCATGGCCGGAGCTAGCCATGATGGTAATCTCTAAGGCTTCTTAATGCCCAGAGCCGTCGCCATTATTTTTACTGCTAGAAAAACAGAGAGACTGCAGTTCATCCTTATCAGAGCCGCCCCTTCATCTTGTTCCGACCACACTGCTGTGCCAGCTCCAAGTCCTTTGGGTGGCAGCTGCTCCGGGGGTTGATTTGTGCCTTGACTGCAGGGAGGGGGGAGTCATGCCAGCAAGCCTGCCCCCCAGTGACTCAGCAGATCCCAAGGAGACAGCAGGAGGGACTTGTGTTCTGGGAGCACAGTGTGTGCCAACCCCACACATACACACACTTGGTGTCAGCGTGAGAGTTGTTGGGTCAGCCTGGGGCCTGCCCACCAAGCCCAAGCCCCAGAGCAGCAGCAGCAGCAGCCCTGTTCAGCATCTCTGGAGGATTCATTCACCCTACCTTGCCCCTGTGTGGTAGCAGAGGACAGACCCCAAGCAGCTGTTCACCATCCACTGTGCAGCCCCATGTGTGACAGGTCCCCAGGGAGTACCTCCTGGGCCTCCCACAAGCAAGACAGGCAGGCCTGTGTGCAAACATCATTTGCATCCCCCCCACCCACTTGTTTATGAGGGCTGGGCCTAATTGGCTTGCCTCCATCAACACCTCTGTGCCCCCTCTCCTCCCCCCTCTGCCCCCACCCACGCTCGCACACCTTGAAAGAAATGAGAAACATGACAACAAACTCCAGTTGTCAGAAGGCACGGCGCCACCACCAATCATGTGCTGGCAGCATCGAGGAGGGAGTGGGGCCTGGCTTGGGGGAGTAATTGGTGAACCCGAGGTGAATGAAATAATTGGAGAAGTGAGGTGTGAGTTTGTTACTAAAGTGTGAGCGTGGTGGGGGAAGGAAAGAGGACCATGTTTAAAAAGCCCGGTATGGCCTCTTTATTCACAGCTTCGGATACAGTAATTGCTATTTTGTGATTTCTATTATCTACACAGTGGGGCGCATGAGCACCAGAGTCTGGGCGCAGGGGGAGGTCTTGGGTGCCCTGTGACACCCCTTCCTCCTTGGTCCCCGCTGCCCAGCCTTGCTGCACCCTGCTGGTGGCTTTCTCTCAGGGAGACCAGACTTCATGCCAAACTGCCTCCCAGAGCCACACAGGGAAACGGCTCAGGCACCCTTGCTGTCAGATAAGACTCTCAATAATGACTGGTATTTATATATCGCAGATCTCTAAGGAGCTAAAGGAACTTCATCGATTTTTCCCCAACGTTTTTTTTTTTTTCTCTCTCTCTCTCAATTCTTCTTCAATATCTCCCTGAGATCTTTAGTATTGGTGTTACATTGTGCTCCACGGTCATAAAAGTCAAAAGTCGGCAGAGCCTTTCAGAGGCTGGGCATTGTTCTGGGGTCAGGAGAGGCAATGGGGGCAGAGGGACTGGCCTCCGTGCTGATGTCCAGGGCTGTGGGGCGTGGGCAGGTCACTTTGCTGCTTTGGCCCTTGTTTTCCTCATCTGTAAAATGAAGGCAGAGACCCTGTGCCCCATCGTGCCATTACAGCAAGAAACGTGATATTTGAAGGGACTCGTGTGTCATGGAAGGAGCCCTGTTGTTGGCAGTTCAAAGACCTGGAAATTTACTCCCATAAAGATGGCAGCCTAGGAAACCCTATGGGGACAGTTCTACTACATCACATGGCTCAGTGACACCCAACACCAGCATGTTCGAGAGGCCTGAGTGACAGATACAGTTAACGCATGAAGAGACACCTCAGCAGACAGACCTAGGAATCTGCTTCTCCTCTCCACACATGGGGTCACCATGAGTCCAAATTAAATCCATGGCAACTGAAAACAGCAGCATGCTGTAGGCTCTCAGTCACCGGTAGTTGTGCTGTATGGCCATTCATTTCCCTCACAAACATCAGGAAGTTCCTTCTAAGATCTAACCCTCAGCCTCCTAGCTGCCCCTTAAGCCTCAGCTCTGGGTCTTACAAGGGAGGAGGACCAGCTGCTCATCAGAACCCTGCCCTGACCTTCTGCAGTCTGTGAGGCTTTTGACGCTACAGATGTCTTTGGGCAGAGCAGATGTCTGTCTGGAAACCCCAGACAGGGCTGTGACCCCCTGCAAGGCCCCTTGGCTTCCCGTCCCCTCGTAGCTCCAGCATGCCCTCTGTCACAGCCCACCTTGCCAAGCTCTCAAATGCCACCTCTCCAGGCCACGTAGGCATGACTCCCCCCGCTTCTGCTCATCAGCCTCTTTCTCCACCTTTTAATTATTTTTCCTCGCCTTTCTCCGGACCCTTAGCTGCTTACCATGCACGGAGCATCCCCAGCTTGCAATGGGCTGCAGAAGGAAGCATGAGCCTCTGCATTCTCTCCCTCCCTTTCTCTGTCTCTGCCACACACACGCACACACGTGTACACACACATACAAAAAGACTGGCTCACCAGAAAAGAAATGGGAACGAAAACAAGCCTGAGAGAGGGGGGTCTTGAGACTATCTAGGAGAAGATGTGTAGGGTCTGGGTTCAGTTTGCTCCCTCCCCACCAGCTCTGTGGTCTTGGGCAAGCCCCTGATCCCTGAGTGTCCCCTTAGGGTGTCTCTTCCCATCCCCAGGCAGCGTCTTGTTTCACCCCGGTCCTGGACCTGGACCTTAGCTCATGAAAGGGCTGATACTGACCCAAATGATTAGAGGAGATGAAAACTGCGTGAGCTCAGGCTTAACATCCAACCGGTTTGAGTTCGCGTTCCAGACCTGCTACTTATGGAGCCTCAGTTTCCTCACCTGTGAAATGGGGATGCTAATTCCTATTGATGCTGTCTGTGCCACCCCCATGCACTAGTTCATTGACCCCTCTTGACAACCCTCCGAGGGCAGCTCGGATTTATCCATGTTTGCACCTTCTTTCAGAGTGCTGGTTTGCTCGTGGATTTGTTTCAAACGTGTCTGCAGGCCTCCCTCACCGCCAGACACTCAGCAATGACCACTAACACCGCTGAACTTCAAGCCCAGGGTAGACAGAGGGTTAACAAGCCTCGTTCCAATGGGCCTGGAGGAAACACACTGGCTGAGCTGGGGTGTAAAGCGCCCACCATGATTGCAGATCATAGTCAGTGCATCTCATGCAACCTTTTTACACATACACAAAGCCGGCTGTGGAGGCAACCCCATGTGTGTCCTCATAGAACTTTACACTGGAAGTACCTCTGGGGGAGCCCAAGCCCCCAACCAGCTGTGAGCAGCCAGCACACTATTTCTTTATGCTGCGAAGGGGTTTCCACCTTGGGGCCAGGCACTGCACCAGCCCCTCGGCACCAGCAGCCGTGGGGAGAATGAAGAAGTTGTAGCCCAGAGAGCTGTGAGGTGCGCACACCTACCCAACAACTCCATCCTCACCTATGAACAGAAGCAGGAGTGTCTGCCATGGGCTGAGCCAGCCTTTAGATGGCAGAATGAAGCTGGGATTGGGCCTCAGCTCAGCTCAGTTCTCCACCTGCCCAGCCCCATCCCCTCCTAATGGGTCTGGAGCCTGCTTCTGCTCAGAGAGGGGCCCAGGCAGTCAGGAAGACTCCCCAGGAGACAGGCCTGGTCCACTGGCTGCACCAAGCAGGCCAAGCTCGCGGGGAGGGGGGACCAGGGCTGCCGGCAGCGCCGAGGGGACGTGCGGCTTCATTTCGAGGCCTCATCAGGCCGCATTTACACACCGGCCTGCCTGCAGAAATTGGGCTGGCAGATGCTTCGTCATGCTGGCAGGGCTGCAGGGCGACGCCTCAGATTTCGCTTATATCATTTCACCAGAGTTGACGGCCTTAACTGGTGCTCACACAGTCGGTCTCTGGCCCTGGAGCTCCGAGGCTGCTGTGTGCATGCGTGCGTGCCCAAGTGCGGGGAGATTTTCAAATAAAATAACACCTCTCTTCAGATGCCGGGCACATTAAATATTTATCAGCCACAATTTGTGTGTATACGTTTGATAAATGGAGTGAGGAGGGAGATGGGGGAGGGAGATGGGGACGTGAGGGACCCAGAGAAAACGCGGGCCTTTTGTCCTGGAAATTTTCCAGGATCTCTACCAGGAGAGGAAGGGCTGAGGTGGTCCAGGAGGCCCTCCTGACTCACCTGCACACAGCCAGGAAGAGCCAGGCCGCTGTGCCCACCAGCACTCAGCCTGACTTAGCTGAGCAGAAAGAGCGCTGGGGGGCACGAGTGTAGGTGTTTGTGTGTGCTGTACACATGCCTATGTGTCTATTTACAATGTGTGGAAGTCGCTTCTAACCTCCGAGTTTCCCCTTTTGTTCCAGCACCTTCGGGGAGCTGAAGACTGTGCGGCTGCCAAAGAAGATGACCGGGACGGGTACACACAGAGGGTTCGGATTCGTGGACTTCCTTACCAAGCAGGATGCCAAGGTGAGGCTGACGGTGCCCAGGCTTCTTTCCAGGGCCTCCGTTTCCCGGGGGCTGCTGTGGACAAAGTGGGGAAAGAGCCTGTCAGTTCTGTTTGGAGGAAGGGGCTGATTTCATTCCCCGCTAACCTGAGCGTCAAACTGAGGAAGGCAGTGGGTTTCCTGGTCTCTCCCCATCAGCCCATCAGAGGGCAACAGAGAGGGGAGAGGAGAGAGAGAGAGAGTGTGTGTGTGTTGTTGGTGTACGTGTGGGCACAGAGAAGCCCCAGGGATGAGGACAAATCATCCAGGGCTGGTCCTTTGAGGCAGACGTGCACAGACACAGGGACATGAAGAGACGAGAGATCCTCACGGACCTTGCAGACTCTGGGGCTTCATACAGTACCACTGTGGTCTTAGAGCTAGGGGACCACTGGCGAGGGCCGCTGTCACGGGCATCCCTTGATGAGTGGTGTAACTTGGCGATAACGTTCCTTCTCCTTCTTCAGGAGAGGTCTCGGGGGAGCTGGGTTCCCCTCCACCTCGGCTCGGGCATCTCTGAGGCCACGTGGGTGGGTCAGCTGGATGCAGCTCACAGTGGCCGCTTCGGGCCACAGCTGTGGCCTTTGTGGGCCCTGGGAGCCCGCCGGCCACATTTGTCCTCGGCAGGCTTGTCAGCACCTGAGCTCCAGGGCCCCTTTGATTGACGCGGGGCCACATTTGTCTGCGCCCTTCTCCTTTCTCTCACACTGGCGGCTTTTCTTACCCCCCCACCCCCACCCCCCACCTGTTAGGACTGGGGCAGCATCCCATGTGCAGCTGCCCACGGCCTTGCACCTGTCTTGGCTCTTCTGAGGGTGCTCTGCGCCACAGGAAGGATGAGCACTCCTCCTCTAGGGTTCCGCTCACCGGTGCGCAGTACCTCCCCCCACTCAGTCTGCTTCCAGGTGCTTGGTCCCCACACGGGGAGGGGCTGTGGACACCTGGGGTCATGGTTACCGTTGACTCTGGGGGTTCCGCAAGAGATTGTGTCTCCAGGAAAAAGAGGGGGTGGACTCCCAGGCCCTTGAAACGTCTCGTGTTTGGTGCCAGTGCAGCCTAGTGGTTGGAGGCAAATTCTGATGTCAGACTGCTTGAGTCTCATCCCAACACAGGCAAGTCTATTATAAAATGGAACTAGGATTTTTCTCATCAAGCTGTGGTTTCAATGAGGTGGTAATCTTTAAAGCGCGCTTGGTACCTGTAAGCTCTACCTGTTACTAGGAAGAGGAAGATGGTAGCCATGATTGTTGTTGTTGTTGTTAAGTGCCGTCATGATGGTTGATCTGAAATGAGAAGGTTGTGGGGGAGGATCCAAAAGAAATGACTTCAGCGCATCTTCCACTGGAAACCCGTAGCCTCTTCCACAGCCAGGACTGATGTCTAGGGAACCTGCCAGACGGCTGGGCCAGGTGTGTGCTCCCAGCCAGCAGAACATGCAGTCTCATCATTTGGACCACGGAGCAGAAGGGGGCCTGCAGGTAGACAAGAAAGCACGCATCCGTCAGGGGCCCTCAGCCTGCCTTCAGGGAAGTGCTCTGCGACTGTTGGAAGCGGCCCCTGCAGCCTCCGCCTTCCCCGTCTTCCATTCTGGCCTCTGGAAGCAGAAGGGCAGCCGGGAACAGCCCAGACTCAGCATAGCCCCTTGCGTCCCACAAGGCTGGCTCCGGAGCTATTTCTGGCCCCACTATCACTGCGGCTACAGGCCCTTTGTGCCAGGCATCACCAAGTATACCGTCTTCCGTAAAGTATGAGCCCACAGCAGTGCTCATCTCTCCTGCAAAGATCCCCTTGCTCTTTTCACCCCCCAGGAAGCCACCATTGCGTCCTCCCTCTCCTTCTCCCAGTCTGAAGAAGTTTATTGTCTTCTGAGTGGAACCGGGAACACTCGGCACTGACCCACGGAAGCACAAGCTGCGAGCCCATGAATAGAATTCTGAATATTGTAAATAATCTAGTTAGCTCGAGGGTGGGTGGGTGGGAGGGAGTCTGAAGAGGAACCGCTATCTTGCCTGAGACTTTGAGTGAAAAACCTCGGGGTTCTTTTCTAATCTCAGCAGACAGCTAGAAGGAGAAGCCCCTTCTCTGGGCAAGCCCCCCTAAGCCTTTCTTCTTCCTGTTGATCCCTTTGGGGAAAGAGATCTCCTTTAAAAGCCCTCCCCTGGGTTTCATTTCACCCTGAGCCATTTGAGTTCCTCACCAAGGACTCTAATTCCATTTCTTGTCGAGGTTCTGTGTACCAAAGACAGTCCGTTGCTGATTTGGTGATGGGGTTAGCAACTTCTTAAGCCAAGAAATCTGAGTACGGGGTGGGGCTGGGCTGTAGAGAAGGAACTGTGTTAACACAAAAGATTGGCGCTTCGCTACTTACCTAAAGATTGGCTGTTCAGATTCACCCAGTGGTGCTGTGGAAGAAATGCCTGGCGGTCTGCTTCCAAGTAAACGCTGTGGAACTCAGTTCTACTCTCTAGCAAATACCTTGAGCCCAGATGTATTAATGGCAGTGGGGTTGGGGGAAAGCAGGGCGATAGGAGGAAACAATGACTGGGAACAGGAACAGGCAGATACGAGGAGGAGAAGCAGGGAGGGGAGTCTACACTAATGATAAGTCTCTGAAGGCTGGGAAGCCTTGGAGAATTGAATGGTTTTTGGGAGGGAACCAAAGCTGGGGCTCGAACCAGATATCTAGACTCCAATTACAGTGCTCTTTCCCCAGTGTCAACCAGCCTGCCTAACCAGCTGACAAAGAGAAGAGTGAGGGCCCACTCAAATCCTAAAAGCACCTCTCCACACTCCAGACTCTGCTGTGGCCCTAAACACGGGTCTCTCTCTGTGACCTCTAAACTCAGGGCCAGCTCGCATGTCGGGGCATCTATATTCCAGTACACCCTCCCACGCCCAGTCTACACCCTCACGGTGGAAGAACCCCAGCAAATTGCTCCACAGAGCCCACTGCACTGCTTTGTACTTAGCGTGACGCAGTCTCCCACTCAGGTCGCCTCCACTGTCCTGGAGCGGCCTGAGTTTGACAGATTTGCAGCCGGCTCCCGCCCCGTTGCCCGGCACAGTCGTTGGGTTCCATCTCTCCATCCCTGTGGATGGACAGGAGGCTTGGCCTCCGGCGGGGTGTGGCAAACTGTGGCAGGGACGTGGCCATCTGCCCTCGTCATGGGCTCCTGGAAGGCGGAATCAATGAGCTGGCACATTCTCCCCACCTAGGACGTTTTATCAGGCCGGATGCCCTGTCCTGGGTAATGAATGTCAGTCCCTCTTGAAAATGCCGGTCTTAACCTGAATCGCCTGGCCTGATGAGCCGGCATTTCTCAAAGTGCTTTCCCCCATATAGTGGAGGGGAGCAGGAGTCAGAGTTGGCAAGGGCAGGAGACTGGAGAAGGTGCCGGGAGAGAGAGTCAGGGTCTTACAGGTACTCCGTGTGGCTGGGCCTGCAGCATCACAGGTGTCACATGACTAAGGCTCGGCCATTTGTAGACAGGTGGATACATCCTCTCTGGACCCTCGGAGTTAGGTGATAGGTGGCCAAATGACAGACAAGGGAACAGAGACTCAAAGGGACAAAGTCAAGTGCCCAGGGTTACAAGGTTGTTTTGGCAGAGGACGGGACCTCCGCGGGTTACTCTGATCCCAAGGCCCCCTTCCTTCCTCCATTTATTCACTAAAATCAAGTGCCAGCTGTGTGTTAAATTCTATACCCCACATCGCCACCAGCCCCGTGCTCTCTCTCCCTCAGCCCTACAACTCACTCAGGGGCTCACCAACCAGAGACATTTGGAAGACAGCTTACAAGGTCGTCCCTTCAAACCGCTCTTTGGGACAAACCTGGGGTGAAATCTCCTCCCAGCCCCCACCTCCCCAAGAAGAGCAGGCCCTTTTCTGCAGCCCTCAGAGCACACCTGGACGACAGTGATAACTGCACGGTAGAGATCTCACCTTCCCCGGACACCACTCCACCACGTGTCTGTCAGGGGCAGCTTGTGTGTCGCTGTAATGCAGAGCAGGTTTCAGCGGAGCTTCTGGACCAAGACAGACTAGGAAGAGGCCTGGAGATCTACTTGCAAACAGCCAGTGACAATCTTACGGGTGCAGTGATCTGATCCACAGCCCATGTGATGGCCCTGGACTAAGCAGCATTTCGTTTTTATGGTCCGTGGGGTCACTGTGCGTTGGGCCAACACAGTGGCAGCTAATAACCACCAACAACACACAGACCTGTGCCACTTCTCAGCAGCAGCATTCTACCTGAACAGGTGAACGGGCCTCTCAACCGTACATCTTCATTAGCTGCAAGGCCTCTGCTAGTCATTTAGAAACTGCCTCCTCTGCAACCTCACCCAGACCCAGTCAGGCCTGGAGGAAGCGAAGGAAGATGGCCCGGAAGAGAAGGGATGCACAGCCCAGGAACCCGGATCCTGAAACCTTTTACACATGCAGGAGCCTTTAATGTTGCTTCTTCCCCGCTCCTGCCGCTCCTTTGTACTTTTGCAGTTGCAGCTGTTTTTATTTGCCGCCGCTGCTGTTGTTTTAAAAGGTCTATTTTCACATGGAATGTTATCCAATTAGCAGAGCAATGTGTTGGCTTAAATAAACACTCGGGGGGAGCCGGAGCCGGGAGACACGGCGGCTGTCGGCATTGGCAGGCAGAACTGTTCTCACTGTGGTAAACAACCTCAGCTTTCATTGTCGGCTGGTACTCGTTAATTTACCCCTTCTCATTTTTCTCATTTCTCACTTTTCCACTGGGTCGAAGAAGGGGAGAGGGCGGAGGCAGGGCCGAGGACCTACGGCCCAGGCCCACCCCCAGGCAGGATACCTGTGAGCGTTTGAGGCTGCCTGGTGAAGTCTTCTCTGGCCTTCGCTTGGCAGGTCTCACCAGAACTGAACCTTGCGGAGACCTTTGGCAGTGAGTGGTGGTGTGTTGTTGCTGTTGAGTACATTCTGCCCCCTGTGGTGGTTGTGTCTGTGAGCTTC